ACTAAAACTATCAGAGTTTCTTTAAGTCTCTGACAAAAGGTAATAAAGAATAAAAAATAATAATCTTGACACATCAGAATGCATGATTTAAATTTTTTAGCAATTTTAAATTTTAGAAATTATCATTTGTCACATGACAGAACTTAATTATTCCACTTATCAACTGCTCTTTTTAAAACAAATATAAAAACATAGTCCATTAGCTAAGTTTACATTTGGTAATCTTGACACTGTATCTTATCACAGCATGTTCTGAATATTTTACATTGCACTGCAAATTTAGAACAATGTATTTATAGTACAATTAGCAGACATGATAAAAAGATAACAGCTGAGGAGATCCCTGCTCAGATGGACACGCAATCTGTTATTACAGAGACTTTATCAAATGAGCTCCTTGTAGCAATGTCCTGTATAATGTACTAAGTGTTAAGGTACAAAAGGTACAATGAATAATTTACAGGAAGGTATGCCTTTACTTATAGGTACGTCAAAATTGGTGGCAGCCGAACTAATAACAATGTAAATGCAAATTTAGACGGGCATTTGTATCATGTGTCTGGATGATTTTAAGAGGGTGAATCGAAGATCACCCCTTACTATCTTGAAATGTGAGGCTTTGGGGTGATTACTTAGAATATCGATTGAGAACCCCTGTTCTCTGACTGGCAATCTTGGATGTAAAGTGTGGTTATATGCAATTTTATGGGAGTTCATTTATCAGCCATTCACACTTGTGTGAGTGCCTAGCACAGAGATAAAAACCTACATGAATTCTCTGCAGGAATCTTTTAAGATGGATTTTAGTGCAACCAAGTCTGCAAGTTGTCAAACTGCAGTGTTCCAGCAATTAGAGAATTAGAGAGTGAGGATCCTAGGTGGTGTGAATTTTGAAACTCACATGTGACTTAAGCTGAACCTGGTGCATGGCATTTGCCCCATATTGTTTTAGGGAATGAGAGCTGAAATGGGCTCAGGGGACTTGCTTGCACCTGAGATGAGAAGCAAAGACTAAAGCATGTGCTTTGGGGCAGAAAGTGGTGCAAAGGAGTATAAATTTATATAGTTAGAACGTTTATGTCCAAGCGGCTTGTAGAAGGCTTTTTAGACCATACTGGTGCTTGGTATATAAAGATGGGTACCCAAATACTCAAAAAGTGTACTTGTAATAAGCACATGAAGGGGCTCATGTCAAGGGGCTTCAAGGCTGTGAAACATCCCTTTTCTTTATGTGATTATTAATGGAGATTTGTGAGCATTTTGATTTGCTGGGCCAGGGTATTTTCTTCACCAGGAGCAAAGGAAATACTTAGAACTTCTATACCCGGTAGAGAATAGAACTCACTGCCATGTGACAACATTTGGTAAGTCACCAAGCTCCACTGCAGAGGGTCCATAGCTCTGTGTAAGCTATGACTTTAACAATTCCCAATGCTGGGGGAGGGGGGTGGTAATTAAACCTATTGCTTTTCTGTGTAATGGCAAAGCACAAGTTCTCTTTAAGACACTTTAAAGTGACCTATGTCATTCCATTTATCTTATCTATCAGTATTAGTGTATAGATGTTGTTGCAAGTTCTCCATTGCTCATTTTCTCGCATCACAGGTCTCTAGCAATCTAAAGATAACAGCTGTGAAAACTCAGATTAGAAATTAGACTTCTGAAGGTAAAGTTGATTGTTACTATTACATCTCCCCCCCCCCCTTTCCTGGTTGGCTGGAATTACATTTTTTTCTGTTGTCTGAAATCATTCATTAGAAAGTTCCAGCAAAAAAGGAGGGACAAAGGGAGCAAAAATGAGAAAGGAGAAAGAGTTTTCAAAACTGCTATCTGGGAATGAGGGAAAAAGAAGGAGCTTACAACAGACTCTCTACATCTATACTATACAGCGGGTAAAATAAGTATTGAACGCATCACCATTTTATAAAATACATTTCAGTTAGAGTGTTCAATACTTTTTCCCTGTGTCAATCCATTTTATTACAGATAACTTAATTCCTAAACTTATTTGTTTTGGGTTCTTTGTATGTATGGGTTGCAAGGGTTGTTACCAACATGTGATGAAAATGTAATCTCAATAGCACCCTTAGAAATATATTTACTGAGAAAAAAACGGTGACCCGTTCAATACTTATTTTACCCGATATATATATATATATATATATATATATAATATGTGTTGATATTGAACTGTACTTGCATTTATTAAATTGCCCAAGCATATCTAATTATATTAATTGTTTACTGTATACATATGCCGTAGATAGGTGTGTGTCCATTTAAAATTGCTTTCATTTCTTTAACCTTATATGCCCTGTAAAAATTCTTCCTCCACTAGATTAATTCTCTCTCTGGGTTCTCATATATTGTACTTATTTCTGGTTGTGCACATCACCACTTCCCATCCATCCCAGATACGTAATGCCTTAGCTGATATCTCTGTGATTTATGGTTCATGCCTTCAGGGCTGCAGTACTGCTCATTGTCTGTCATATTCATGCTCTCTATCATCTGTGTGCTGCCTGAAAAATGTTCATTTATTTTCAAATACCTCTTCTAATTTTTACACCACTACCATACAGCCAGTATCATACAGCCAATTTTTGCAACAGAAATATATTCATAATATTTGTAAATCTGCCATTTGTGGCAAAATGATGGGCATACTGAGACAGATTTTTTGCTGATCTAACACAATGAAAAAAAAAACAACATTTGTTCTATTAACTAAATGAACCTTCTGCATCTAGAACATTTTTGTCACATAACAAAGTAAGATTCTTTCTGAGGGGGCACATGAGATGCTCATATTGTCTCCATATTGCAAGTTATATCCTGTTGCTCAGAATCCTGAAATGCTTCTTAAAGGTGCAAAGGGATGGTAAATATAAACGGCTGCCCAAGACTGCTAAGGGCAATGTATAGATAGCACTTTAAAGATGTTCTAAGACAAGCACAACATTCAAATATCTTCTTACTGCTCCTGCAGTACAAAGAGCAGAGAACAATGGGCAAAAAGATCTTATATCTTTATACCTGTGTAGGAGCAGTGCCAAAAGTGAAGTATGGTACAGTCTAAGAGTTTAAAGCAGGGGTGGGCAACTGAAATCCTCCAGCTGTTGCAAACCTACAAGACCCATCATACCTCCACCTCTGGGAGTCATGCTTGTAATTGTCAGTCTTGCAATTCCATAAGAGCCGGATGACTGTCGTTGCCCACTCCTGGTTTACAGTGACCCATGTAGCAGATTCAACATACAAATTAAAAGAAGGCATTGAGCTTCTTACTGTGGCTTTATGAATTTTACTAATCTGTTTTCTTTTTTTATTTCGGTGATCAGCTCTGCACTTTTGAGCCACCTCTGACAGCACTTAATGAAAAATGGGAAAATAGATTGGTGCATCACAGGGAACTTCAATTCAGTTTCTACTTGTAATGTATGTGTTGAGGCTGCTACTTGTATTATGGTGACAATAACTGACTATACAATACTTGTAGAGGTATGAGATATGCAGGGATATGTTTCTTTTTATCTCCAACAATCTTTCCTATTTCTGTGAGTTAAGAATGTTTAAAGTGATATTAAACCCTCAGATTTGTAAGCACTTTCAGCAGCTGATTTAATCACATACTAAGGTTGCAGTTCCTTTATCTTTTAGTCCTTGCCAGTGTTCCAGTTTAATGTGGTGCTGTGATCGCTGCCCCAGGTTTGCTGTTACAGAATGGCTCCTGTCTCTAGTAGCATCTTATGGGAGCCACCCTTGCATGCAGTGACTAGAGTTGTGTCTATCTATACTGTGCATCAATAGAAACACACAGCTCCATAGCCATTTCCTGATGATCCTTCCTCCTCCCCCCTCCCTTCTGCACTGTTAACTCTTTCTAGTGAAGACCAGAAGTTCAGAGAAGCAGCACTAAAAGTTTTAAACAGCAAGTGGTGGGATAAAAATGTTAACACATAGTTTACTGGGAATGTGTTTATTGTATTGTGCTTGATGTGTAAAGCTAAACAATGCTGAGTGTTTAATACTACTTTAAGCAGACAAAGTATTTTTCTTCAGTAATGTTTATTTTATATTATTTTATAGTGTTTTATTTATTTATCCAGTTATCCTTGTCGATCCGGGTGAGAGTCATATAATGTCCTCCCCGATCACTGCCTTGTGCCTGCGGGGCCACGAGATTTGTCACTGGCTGTGTCCATAGGATACAGCCTATGACCGATCTGTGTAGTGGCCCGACCAATTACAGAAGGTCACATGACAATTGTAAACAATGGATGGCTTCCTTTCATGCCATCCATTGTGTACAATTGTGTTGTTAGCTGTGATTAATCACAGTGATCACATGTACAGACTGGGCCAATCACAGCCCATCTGTGTCATGTGATTAGCTGTGGACAATCATAATTATGAATGTAGGCAATCATAAAAAAAATACTTCTCCAGTGTAGTACAAACTTGCTATGGTAACATTATATTTAGAGATGAGCGAATTTTTCAAAAATTCGATTCGGCTGATTCGGCGAATTCCAGGAAGAAATTCGATTCGATGCGAATTAATTCGCTACGAAGTTAACTTATAAAAAGGGTTTCTAGGCTTCAGAGAGCCTTTAAATTAGTGCAGAACACTGTACCTTTAATTTAAATGCCCTTGGAGATGAGGAAGGAGAAGGAGAAGGAGAAGGAGAAGGATGAGAAGAAGGAGAAGGAGAAGGATGAGAAGAAGGAGAAGGATGAGAAGAAGGAGAAGGAGGAGAAGGAGAAGGATGAGAAGAAGGAGAAGGAAAAGGATGAGAAGAAGGAGAAGGAGAAGGATGAGAAGAAGGAGAAGAGAAGGATGAGAAGAAGGAGAAGGAGAAGGATGAGAAGAAGGATGAGAGAAGAAGGATGAGAAGAAGGAGAAGGAGAAGGAGAAGGAGGAGAAGGAGAAGGATGAGAAGAAGGATGCGAAGAAGGAGAAGGATGAGAAGAAGGATGAGAAGAAGGAGAAGGATGAGAAGAAGGAGAAGGAGAAGGATGAGAAGAAGGAGAAGGATGAGAAAGAAGGAGAAGGATGAGAAGGAAGGATGAGAAGAAGGAGAAGGATGAGAAGAAGGACAGTTCTGTGACAGTTTCTGTCTATTTCTGACAGTTCTGTGACATTCACTCCATACAGCGGTTTCAACCGCTGTATGGAGGGAATGTCCCAGAACTGTCAGAAATAGTCTATTTCTGACAGTTCTGGGACATGTATGTAGTGAATGTCCCAGAACTGTCAGAAATAGTCTATTTCTGACAGTTGTGGGACATTCCCTCCATACAGCGGTTTCAACCGCTGTATGGAGGGAATGTCCCAGAACTGTCATAAATAGTCTATTTCTGACAGTTCTGGGACATGTATGGAGTGAATGTCCCAGAACTGTCAGAAATAGTCTATTTCTGACAGTTGTGGGACATTCCCTCCATACAGCGGTTTCAACCGATGGAGGGAATGTCCCTGAACTGTCATAAATAGTCTATTTCTGACAGTTGTGGGACATTCACTCCATACAGCGGTTGAAACATTGTATCTATTTGTTTCCATAAATGACATTCTGCAGATACACTTAGAGGAGCTCTGCAGATACACTTTTTGCCGGCTTGGAATTATTCTTATTTTCATCCTACTTCTTCTTCTTCTTCTTCATCCTCATCCTCATCCTCTTCTTCTTCTTCTGAGGATGAGGATGAGGATGAAGAAGAAGAAGAAGAAGTAGGATGAAAATAAGATTAATTCCAAGCCGGCAAAAAGTGTATGTGCAGAGCTCCTCTAAGTGTATCTGCAGAGCTCCTCTAAGTGTATCTGCAGAATAGAGGAGCTCTGCACATACACTTTTTGCCGGCTTGGAATTATTCTTATTTTCATCCTACTTCTTCTTCTTCATCCTCATCCTCATCCTCTTCTTCTTCTGAGGATGAGGATGAGGAGAGCTCCTCTAAGTGTATCTGCAGAATAGAGGAACTCTGCACATACTCTTTTTGCCGGCTTGGAATTATTCTTATTTTCATCCTACTTCTTTCTTCTTCTTCTTCATCCTCATCCTCTTCTTCTTTCTTCTTCTGAGGATGAGGATGAGGATGAAGAAGAAGAAGAAGAAGAAGAAGTAGGATGAAAATAAGATTAATTCCAAGCCGGCAAAAAGTGTATGTGCAGAGCTCCTCTAATGTATCTGCAGAGCTCCTCTAAGTGTATCTGCAGAATAGAGGAACTCTGCACATACACTTTTTGCCGGCTTGGAATTATTCTTATTTTCATCCTACTTCTTCTTCTTCTTCAGGATGAAAATAAGAATTACAAACCGGCAAAAAGTGTATGTGCAGAGTTCCTCTATTTCTGACAGTTCTCTGACAGCTTCTTCACATGTACAGCGGTTGAAACATCTGTATCCTAAATGGAAACTAATAGATACAATGTTTCAACCGCTGTACATGTGTTCCTTCTGTCAGAGAACTGTCAGAAATAGCGGAGCTCTCTGCAGGGACACTTTTGCCGGCTGATCGGGAAAAATCCGATTCGCGCACCCGAAGTAGGCAAATATTCGGATTCGACGCGAATCGAATTTTTTCCTGAAATTCGTATCGAATTCCGGTTCGCCTGGTTCGATTCGCTCATCTCTAATTATATTACTCTGGTTACAGTGTTTTATTTAAAAAAAAATAATTAAAAAAATGGTTTTTTTTCATATGGTCACCAGTCAGTGTCCCTGGTCACTGCCACACCAGTTATATGACAATGCTGTACTGCATGGTGACAGTATGTGAAAAAAATGTTTTTTTAATTTCTTTAAATTTCCGTAGGTTGGGGCATCACAGGGAACTTCAAATCAGTTTCTACTTGTAATGTATGTGTTGAGGCTGCTACTTGTATTGTGGTGACAATAACTGACTATACAATACTTGTAGAGGAATGAGATATGCAGGGATATGTTTCTTTTCATCTTCAACAACTTTTCCTATTTCTGTGAGTTAAGAATGTTTAAAGTGATATTAAACCCTAAGATTTGTAAGCACTTTCAGCAGCTGATTTAATCACATAAGTGATATTAAACCCTCAAATTTGTGTACAATTGTGTTGTTAGCTGTGATTAATCACAGTGATCACATGTACAGACTGGGCCAATCACAGCCCATCTGTGTCATGTGATTAGCTGTAGACAATCATAATTATGAATTTAGGCAATCATAAAAAAAATACTTCTCCAGTGTAGTACAAACTTGCTATGGTAACATTATATTACTGTGATTACAGTGTTTTATTTAAAAAAGAATCATTAAAAAAAAAGGTTTTTTTTTCACATGGTCACCAGTCAGTGTCCCTGGTCACTGCCACACCAGTTATATGATAATGCTGTACTGCATGGTGACAGTATGTGAAAAAAATGTTTTTTTAATTTCCTAATTTTCCAAAAAATTTTGAGAAGAAAATTACAACTTCAAAAAACTCACCATGCCTCTTAAATACCGCAGACTGTCTACTTTCCAAAAAGGGGTAATTTGATATCTGTACTGTCTGACATTTTTGGGACTCAAGAAATGATATCAGTGCCGTCAGTATATCAGGATTGGTCGATTTTCAGATACTGTATATATACCATAGTTTGTGAACTCTATAACTTTCCTACAAACTAAATAGTATACACTAATTTGAATTATTTTCACCAAAGAAATGTAGCAGAATACATTTTGGCCTACATTTATGAAGAATTATTTAGTTGCAAAATTTTATAACAGAAACAAAGAAAAACTTTTTTTTTTCTCAAAATGATTGATCTTTTTTGTTTATTTAGCAAAAAATAAAAAACACAATAGTGATTAAATACCACCAAAGAAAATGATATGTGTGTAAAAAAAATAAAATAAATTTAGTTTGGGTACAATGTTACATGACCGCGCTATTGTCATTCAAACTGTGAGAGCACCAAAAGCTGGGGGTAAAAGTGCCCTGTACTGAAGTGGTTATTTATAACATATTTCGCAAACCCTTACAGATGTATTGAACAATTCACATGTGTACCCGTCTCATTTTAAAAGAGGCAACTATTAGAGAAAAGTAAAAGAAACAACCTGGTAAACATCAGTAAACTGTAAAAACTGGGTTCTGTTTCCCTGGTGTAAAGTTCAGGACTTTAAGAAGTACATCCAAAGCTTGTTTGGCTGTACTTCTCCTTTGGATCACAGGAGTGCAGTTCATTCTGCACTCCTGTGACCCGTTTTCAACTGACAGCGGACTAAAGTACACTTTAGGCTGACATCACTCAGACGGTCCAGGCTGGGGAAGATGGCAACCATATGGTTGGGATTGACCCAGGAGCCTGGACCAGAACCTGGCTCAGCCTCTCCACCCTCTACATCACTGGGATGGGGGGGAGGGGTGCATCCATCAATACTGCATCCACCTAGGAAAGTGTAAATATAAAAATAAAAACTTTGTTTTTTAGTACTGCAATTCAAGAGTTTCAACCACAGTTACTGCAATGCTCATCTTTCATCACCTAAGCCCTAACTAGTTTTTGTTAGCAATGTTTGAATAGAATATCTGCCACCTTGCATGAAATGGCCAGTACCAAATCTATTTAATTGTAGAAGCCTAGGCGGAATCCCTGTGCTTTTCTGTTCCCTTCTATTATACTGAACAGTTCAGTTCACCTCTTTATTTGCTTAAACACCTTGCAGGCATTGAAGGGTTTACTCTTGCACTTTTTACTTTATGTGAATGCACATAATGACTGCAGGAGTCTTGCACTTAGTAGTAAAGGCCATGGAGGTTTACTGCTGGAACACTCTGGTAATAACCATTCTTTGTTTATGTTCTATTAAAGACTCCACTTGTTTCCCTCAGTCAGCCTTCTGTGCGACATTTCCCAGCAACCCTTCTTCTTCTTCTTTTTCTTCATGAGTTCATCATCAAGAGCCATATTGCTCTAATTTACATGAAAGGCTCAAATTGGCTGAGAATTTTGTTGGACTCATATAAGTGATGTTTTATTTTCATTTTTTCGAGTTGCTATCGATTTACTTCAGAAGAAAATTATTGGCAGAATAGAATGTTGGCTCAAAGATGTGAGCCTGTTTTAAACATTTAACATGCACTTCCAAAGCTTGTTACTGTAACCACAACTGCAGTTGTGATTTAAAGGTCTATTTAGCAATATATTTTTCAGTTGCTACAAAGGTGCAAGGTTTAGTCTTGTAATGCAATATGTTCTTAGTTCATATCTATTAAATTAAAGCTTTTCTATAAATGTTCTTTTCTTACCAGCTGCATGGATGCCATGCCAAAAATTGCTACTTTTTATTATTAATCTGCTTTGCCAGCATTCATCAATTCAGGTAGTTGAATTTTGTGCAGTTTATCCAGAACTTAAAGATTCATCAGTCATTGTAGCAGTTTAAAAAGAAAGATATTTATGATTGCCAAAAGTAGGGTCATTTACAGTCCTATTTCCTGTTAAAACTTTGTGTTCTACCCTTGGACAGTGTTGAAAGGTTAGAAACTATCCATTTTTTATTGCTGTCAGTGTCCCCATTGGAGAGATCTCTGATTACTTCCTGTCCTAGTATGACACCCTCACACACAGGATGTCACCTGGATGGGAAATGAGGGAAAATAATCTGGAGTGGTTTATTTCTGTGCCAGTAGTTAGATGCACTTAGTGTTCAGTGCTGGACTGAATACATTTGGTACTTATACTTTTGTTCCGAGTTAGGTAAGTCTTGATTTTTAGATTAAAGCATAAATTAACCTTTGGGAACATGTTACATGTGACACCCATTTTTAGAGGGGAACATGTAACATGTTACAGCTTCTTCAGCCACTTCCAATTCCCCCCCACCTTGGGACAGCAGGCCGGGGATCTTCTCCCTGCAGTCATTGTCACTATTTGAAATGTGGCCATGCTGCCTTGTAATTCATTTACATTCACGAGTTCCGTGAATTAATGTACTACAAGTACCAACAGCCTTTGCAGCTAACAATTTATAGTTCTCAATGAACTACCAGGGTGCTGTTGAGCAGCCTAGGCAGTCCATTGATTCTTACTGTCATTGTGTAACTGCCTGTCTGTGCGAGGTAGGAATAGACAGCACTGTTCAACAGGTAAAAAGTTTTGGGCATAAAATTAGCTAATCTTACATAATTTTGGGGTGCTGAAAACGAAAATGACCCTAAAAAATGTTGATTGGCTCTAGTTTCCATGATATATTCACCCATCTAATGACGTAAGCCATTCAAAATTATGATGCAACTTCAGCTGCATATTGCGCAATTGATACTGGTGACCAATAGAAAATTGCATGTATACTGAGATGATGCAATATTAGCCTTTAATTGCATCACTTCACTGCATAAAAGCTGCAGTATCTGTAGCTGATTGTAGTTCGACAGCGTCTTTACATTTCGTTTTATGCTTATATAGGCTACTCAGTAATGCCTCGAACTTGTGTGAATAAAGCAGATAATTTCTGCTATATCTGCGGTGAAATAACTTTTATCTCACAAAAAAGGAGGATAACAGGAATGATTAAGAAAGCCTACAACTTGTATTTTGGCTGCAAGATAGGAGACCAG